GGAACAAATTATCAAATTGGGTAGAATGTAGCTGTAGCTCTTAGGCCTTCCAAGAGAAGCTTCTTTTTGTAGTGGCTGGTGGTGCACGTAGAAACTCACAGCCAAAGCACAAAGAATAAATGTTTTTAGAGTGCTCAGCCGTAGAGGGGACATCTATATCATAGCTCCCCTCACTAAGGTCCAGGGAATATTGTTCCAGAGTGAGGTGGAGAGATTGAAAGCGTCAGAAGTAAGGGAGGACCAGGATGAAGCACTGCCCTCTGAAACGACGGGAACACTGCACTCGTGAGCTCACGGCAGCCATGGTGTTTGGCACAAAATCAGTGAGCTAACATTCTAGCATGTAGCCGGGAGATGTGCGAGTCACCACTCCTGCCGAGGACCTATTGGCAATTGATGACTTCTGGGAGAGCGAGGGTCAGGTTTCTTTAAGGGTGGTGGCTCCTGGCAGGTTGACCGCCCTTCAGTGGATGGCCCTACACCGATATGGGACACAAATTGGATTTAGTGGGTTAAAAAATATGGACATGAAGTTGGAAATGGGATGAGATCCTAAAGGAGTTGTGGATGAATATGATCAGAACACATTTTGTGTATGTAGAAATTCTCAAAGGATTATATAAAACAAATTCTATTGGGTAGAAGTGGGGAGCAATGAAATTGGGGAATATTAGTTTTTATTCATAAGTTCTTTCTTATTTGATTTTTTTAAATCACATGATCGGGATAATTAGATGAAGATAAAATATCAGTCTGCTCATAAGTATGTTTTTTTCCCCAATAGTATTCCTCATAATGGCTAAAAATAATATTCCTTCTGCAAATAGTGAAAATTAAATGAAGTTTATTTCAGAATCAGCTTAATTTATTGCATTTTGATTGGCACAGCACACACACCATCATCTCCTGGAATCCCTCAGGCATTTGTTTGAATGACTGAACTTGAATTCAGATTACATGGCCCATCAAATGTGAGTAAATGAATATTTACAAATACTTTTACTCATTACTTTGCAGGTTTCTTTATAATCTTTTCTAAATCAAAGTTTATTAACTATTCCCTTTATAACAGGAAAGCAAATTCCAGACATCGGTACTCTGGGGTCCACAGAGGACTAGTTACAAAGCCTTCCCTTGTAGAGACTCCCTTTCACACAATGAATAAATAAATCACCCGTGTAAAAAAACCGAGCGCTTGACAGCAACCGGGGCGTTATCTTCTCAAAAACCCTTGTGAAACATAACTGCTTTCCATGTAGAGCCTCAAAATAACTTCCAAAAATTGCCATTTTGAGTTTCCTATCAAAGTGGAAAGATGCTCAGGAACTAGAAACTATTGAAAACAGACTCGTAGAGTCATACTCATGCAGACTTATGAACTTGAACATTATTATACATGAGAAAGGAGGAGTGTCTCTTTCTCTCCCCACCAGTCTTATTAGAAACTTATGGGGCACTTTACATTTTTAAAAGTTGCCAAAGTTTTGTTCATGTGTTCTGAGGCTCTGTGTATGATGCTCTCTTAGGATTATTTTGTATTGATTATATATGTATATTTTTTAAATGACACATTCCCCAGGTGATTATCAGAGCCACAAGAGTAGGCACTTGGTCAGTTTTATTTTTTGCTGTTTCTCCAGAACCTCCGTGTTGTTGGCACTCAGCCCACAATATTGCATTAAAGATAACATGCGCATTAAAGTGCATTATATAGTATATGCATTATATATATAGTGCATTATATATAGTGCATTAAAAATAACATGACTACTAATGAACATTATATGTTTCTTACTATGGATTAGAATTCGTTTCTAGTTTCATTTCTGTTGCTATGATAAATATCTTAGCAAACATCAGGTTAGGGAGGAAAGGGTTTGTTCAGCTCACAAGTCAGGTTGCAGTCTGTCATTGAGGGGGAGTCAAGGCAAGAACTCAAGCAGTGAGTCACAGCACATTCACAGTGAAGAGAAGAGACTCACACATGTGTGAGGGTTTATTTCTTTACCTGCTTGATGCCGTCTAGAATTCTTGTCTCTCATACTGTTCAGAAACCCCTGTCTGGGGAATGGTGCCTCTCACAATAGGCTGCACCTACCTCTATCAATTAAAAATTAAAACAGTCTCACACAGACAAGTCCACATCTGTTCTAGGTAATCTCCATTAAGATTCTTGGCCAACACAATTCACACTCTATGCTTCTTTGTGTGTGTGTGTGTGCTTTTTAAATTTTTTTAAGGGAAAGAGAAAAACATGAAGAAACATAAAGAAAGATGAATCTGGGGGAGAGAAAAGATTATGATGAAAATATATTGTATTAACTTTTCAATAAATCAATAAAAGCATAAAAAAGCTTTTCCAGGTGAGTCTAAGTTATGTCAAGTAGACAGAAAAACCTAACCAGCAAGCCTTTTCTAAATGTATTACACACACATTTAACCTTCACTGTAACTCTACTAGGTGGGTATGCCTTTCATTAGTCTCATTTTTATGAGTGAGAAAACGAAGTCCCAGAGAGGTCAAGCAACCTGCCTAAAGTCGCACAGCTAGCAGTTGATGGAGCTGGGTTCATTTTGGCTCCCTCAATGGGCTGTTTGATTTTGAGTGGGAGGTTGAGTCTTTTCATGTAGCTTGGGGGTGAGTGCAAAGAGCCTTAGAGGCTGGGTAGCTAAACAAACCGGACTCTCTGAATGTGGTTGACAATGGAGGCGGACTGAGAAGCCAATGATAATGGTACTGGGATTTGATTCTACTGCATGTACTGGCTTTTTGGGATCCTAGTCTGTTTGGATGCATACCTTAATAGGCCTGGATGGAGGGGGGAGGGCCCTGGACTTCCCACAGGGTAGGGTACCCTGCCCTCTCTTAGGACTGGAAGGGGAGAGGGGAGGCTGACTGGGGGAGTGGGAGGGAAATGGGAGGAGGTGGAAATTTTGAATGGTATTATTTATAAAACAAAAATAAAATAAAATAAAATGTTTGAACAAAAAAAAAAAGACTGCACCCAACGCCATTGTCTTGTCAGAGGTTGCTTCAGCCCTGGATTTGGAACATTTCCTGTTTTGCAAGGGCAGATGTCATTCAATGAGTGAAAGGAGGGGAGGCAGCCCTCGTGGCGGCTCAGGCTTATGCATGACACCACATACAATAATATCATTGGAAAAAGCAAATTGCTTTGCCTTAGAATGGGATATTGTGTTTATAGAGCGATTCTCACTCTCCAAAGCATTTGATGTACTTTATCTTACAAATGACACTGTGAGGAAGCATTGCGATTTCCACTTTGCTCTGATGCAGGAATTGGAAAGGTTGGCTCGCGTACACTGTACCAGGTGTACGATGGGGCCCACGGGGTTGTTCTCCTGCTTCCTCGCTCTTGAATATTGGAGTGATTCCTAGGTGTCTAGAGTAACCGGGAAACTCTATAGTCATTTGATTTTTTTTTCATTTTTTAAGTGTAAATAATTTGGGACTCCAGATAGATAGTGTTTTTTCAGTCCTAGAAGTTCCTTACCTATACAAAGTCACATGTGAGTGTGAACCTTTTATTACTCCCTAATAATTTTGGTTTTATGACAATTGTTCTTTACTGTGGAGATAAAAAGGGTTGAGTTTACACAACCAGATGATTAATTACATTTGTTTAGCAACTGGGGAATTTCAGAAATCTCATTGTCCAAATCCAGCCATCGTTTCTCCCCACCTGGCAAACAGTAGCGGTGACTTCCTGTCAGGCCTTGTCATTATTGTTTCCTACGATGGGATTCCGTTTCTGAGAGCAGATTAAAAAGACGAGTCTGCATAAGAAGGAGGACGTTCACCTAGTAGTGTCTACCCCAGCAAGAGACCTGAAGACACTCAGGAGGCAGACACTTTGAGATGTACTCCAGTGTCTTGTCGTATCCCTCTGTGTCTTTTCCTGTTCTTTATGTCCCTTTGGATCTTTCCATGACCTTGTGGCTCTCCGTGTCTGCTATGTACTGTGTCCTGACTGGCTTCCGTATTTCTTTGCTGTCTCTCATGTCCTTTTCTGTTCCCACTATGTCACATCTTTGTTCTTTAATATCGTCTTAGGTACCTTTGGTGCCCCCTCCATTCTTTCCTCACAGCCATCTACTGGTGGGATGAATATATAGAGTGTACACTGAAAAGGACCCTCAGATATTCTTTGGCGAGAGAAGAAGATACTTTGACAGCCAACATCCCTTGGACAGTCCACCTCCACATCTGACTTCTTTTGTACACACTGACTCCATCGTTCTGCTCTGTGTTCGGACTCAATGCAGTGTGCTCGTTCTGTGTAAGTGACATCATCAGTCACCTCAGAAGTGACAGAGAAGTGGTGCAGAATATGCATTTCTCTCTCATTGTTAGTAAAAAGCTGATTGAATTTTCGGGGCAGAGAGAATGCTGAGAAGAAGGAGGGCCATGTCAGAGGAGTGCCAGCCAGATGCAGAAGGAGCAGGATGTGTTCAAGATGAGGTAGCAAGTCATGGGCCACGCGGCCATACATAGATTAGTAGAAATGGGTTAATTTAAGTTATAAGAGCTAGCTAAAACAAGCCTACGCTATTGGCTGAGCATTTATAGTTAATATTAATCTTCTTTGTGGTTATTTGGGAGTGGCTGCTGGGACACAGGAAAAACTCCACCTACAGAGGAGCAGAGCACCTCCTTAGCTATTGGCTTTAAGTGACTTATGTGGTATTCTGGCCTCCAACTCCAGCTTTTATAAACACCAGCATCATTCTTGAAAGTGAGGGCATGCATAAACATCTTATGGAATTCACGGGAATTAAGAGCATCAGAAGTTCTCACAATATTGCCAGTGCAGTTGTTCTGGAAGTAACAGTGGCCACTGACATCTTTGTGCTCCACATTGCCTGCCTTTGTCCATCTCCATTTGGTAGGAAGCATCCATAGACTCCTAGGACCAGGTTAATATTAACATTTCTTTCTGTGGAGACAAAAATTGCCACAGGAAAAGAAAGGTAGTTACCTTTTGTCATGACGATTCCTGCCAGTGTTTTGTGGCGGGCATACACAGATGTCAGGCCAACTGTCAGCTCACGGAACTTCTGTGTGACCAGCTGGGACACAGAGTCTGCAAAATCCTGTAAAACACAAGCATCAGTGCTCTTTGATGTGTTGGATAGAAGCAACTTGTGACAACAGGCTATGGCACACCTCTCTCCTCAGGTCTGCCTTGCACAGTCCTCCAGAGGAGTCCCCCACTTGCCTGCTGCTTGCTTCTCCTTGATCCAGGCTGTTAGGAAGGAGTTTAGTGTGAGGTATGAACCCCAAGCATTGCCTTTCCTGGAAGTTTAGCTTGTGCTTGGTTTGGTCCTTGCTCTGTATCTGGGCAGGTTCTTCCCTTCTGTTTGAGAGAGGCCCTGCTCAATATATCTGAGTAGGCCCCTGTTCTGTGTCTGAGCAGGTCACTGTCCTGTTTTTGAGCAGATTCCTGTCCTTGTGTCTGAACAGGTCACTTTCCTGTGTCTGAGCAGGTCTCTGCTCTGTGCCCTTTACTGAGCAGGTAACCTTTACATGAAAACACACAGTTCCTTCCTATCCTTGTCCTGCATAGCAGCACTCTCAGAGGAGACATTCAGGTGAAACTTGAGAAAAATCCTGAAAGAGCTGCAGGGTGATTCACATTCACTATTGGTCTGCTTTCTTTTTAGACAGTAGTTCTCAACCTTCCCAAGGCTGCGACCCTTTAATACAGTTCCTCATATTATTGTGACCCCTGACCGTAATGTTATTTTGTTACTACTTTATAACTTCAATTTTCCTACTGTTATGAATCATAATGTCACCATTTGATATACAGGATATTTGACACATAACTGCAAAGGGGTCGTGAACCAGACTGAGAACCACTGTTTTAGATTCAGAGACCAGTGTTTAAGTAGTCAGAATACCTCAGGCTACTCTTCTGGAGAACTGGTCACCCCAGCTTGTGCCATAACCTCCCTTCTCATCTTCAGACAGATAAACACACGAACACAAGTGTGCACGTATGAGAAGATACAGCATGTATTGCACATAGCATATACATGCACACACATGTGCACACAAATATAAATACACTCACAGTACATGAGTACTGTACACATGCATGTAGGCACACATGTATACACACATATACATGTATGTTCATACACATAAGCCATACATATATACATATGTACACACACTTATTCTAAGGCCAACTCACACTTCCCTTAAAGCAGTAAGTGTACAGTGAATAGCAAGGCCTAGAAGGTGTGACTCTGTGCCCACCCCTCCCCAGGTCCTGTAGCTGCAGCCTCGTGTTCTAGTTTTGGAACCCCACGTCTTTTCACTAGAGAAACTTGCATGGTGTGACTGTCACAAGCGGCACAGGAATTGCTTGGAATCCCAATTCGGAAGTCTATGAGCTGGGATAAGTCATTCAAAACCTCTGAGCCCTGATTAACCAATTTACAAGGTCATCCTTTTAATTTTCATCTGATCGTGTTTTGGGAATGATTAAACGGATTATCACTTCTTAGATGCTTAGCACAGTGCATCACACTTGGTGAGTGCTCAGTAATGATGCTGCAACTGTTATTCTTTTCATTATCATCTCTGGCCCTTGCAGGTAGTGACAAAATTTTTCTGCAGCCAAATAAAAATATCCAATATCAAACTATGATTTTTTTTAGTGAGTTAGATATTAATGTTTCCATCATGTGCACTTTGATACTGTGCAGACAACTGAATCTTAGACATCTGTTATATAAAACTAAGAGATAAATTGGCAGGTCAAAGCTTTCATTTGTGTGTAATAAAGTATGTTCATGTGCAAACAGGGCTGTCTCAGGAAACAATCCTGCTCACAAAAATAACCCCAAAATTTCTCCTGCCAATTCTTCATCGATGAAGGGTGGGCAGTAGGGAGGCCAGGGCTGCCTCTTCCCAGCACAGACGCTGGGCTTTGACAGCCTTGTTTTCTACGCTGCTGTCGCTGTCCTGGCAGGTGCTTGTGTTTTGAAATGCTTTGTAAATCACTATGGAAACTCTACAACGGACAGACACTCCAAAAACTGGGCTTCCCCTAAGTGGCTGTAGTGCTGTGTGGGGAGGGAAGAGGCAGGCCCTGAGTTTTCTGGACTTTCCTTTAGATAACTTCTCCCCATCATTCTTCCACTCGAGCTGCTTGGAGAGAGATCACGACATCCAGGGACTTGACAGAGAGGCAGGATTTTATCAATGAATCCTGGATCGGCTTGAGGCTGCCCTATCCTTTTATGTCTTAGAGACTGAGGTCTAAAGTCTACATTTCTAGACTCTTTGTGTACTAAGACATGGTGCTGGGGAATGACTGTAACTTGGGGGCTTAGAACAGTAGAATATAGCCTATCATGGTTCTGGAGGCTGAAGCCCAAGGTTCACTTATCACAGGGCTGTGCTCCCTTGGAAGGGGTCAGAAGAAGATCCTTCCCACCTCGTTCAGTGTCTGGTGCTCCACAGTTTATCACTAGGGGCAGGCCTTCAGGTTTTATAGCCTGATCCCATTCTCTGGTCTTCTCTCTGCTTCTTGACTGTGGACCCAGTGTGGTGATTGGCCCATACTCCATACCTTCCCTGTGTGATGTGCTGTGATAGAGAAAGAGTTTCAGCATCTCCAGCTGGGGATAGGAAGGGACCCAAGGTTTGGCTGACATGTACAGTTCCTCCTCTTAGGGATACAAATGGTGTCAAGTGCTCACCACGAGATCCCGGAGAAAATGACCAAAACAGCTTCTCAGGGAATAGGGCGGCCCCTCTCACAGGGGCTGTGTGGTGGGTATGGGGCCACCTGCTTTGTCTTTCCAGAGCTACTAGGTATCCTCAAAGGGGGGTGTTCTAGAAACCAGATTCGATGGTGCAGGCCTGGCTCTTAGAGTCCTAAATTCCATGCAAGACCTTATGTTTTGAGGTCTTGTGCAGGTTTGGGAAATTGGATGAAGCTGCCCACCCCGGATCTTGAGCCTGCTGCATCTACACCCACAGTCCCCTGCTGGGTCCCATTTGGTCAAAGTAATGAGAAAAGCTTGGGCTAATGCTGATGTTTGATATAAATTGAACCTTGAAGGAAGAGAATGGGATTTCTTGTGTTTCCTTCCTTAAATTTCTATTTTTCAGGCGAGAGAATGAATTTGTCCCCCTTCCCCTGCTCAGCTCTGTAGCACACCAGCAGATATGCTACCGACAAGCGCATCCTAGATGTCCATCTTTCGGGAATGACTGCCCTACCCTGGAGGCAATGACACCCTGGTCATCTCTACACAACATTTGTCTTTTTATCTTGGGAGTCAGTTTCTAGTTTCTCATGCATGTTAATCTCTTTCCTAAGCTTTACAAAGAGCAGAGTCTATAAGTGTCTTCTAAAGTCTCTTTCTTGGCACTGGGCATTGTGTCTTCCTTAGAGTTATTCTGAACAGCATGTTTAATTGTCCTTTCTTTCTATCACGAAATATTTCAGTGTTCAAGGATGATAACAAGGCCTTACAGAGGGAAATTTCTTAACTGTTTTGTACACGCCTGATAAAGCTCCCACTGAAGTCCCCAGAATAAGATTCCCTCCAAACACTGAGTAATTACATAGATTACAGAAGACCAATGTCATTTTGGAGATCTAAATATCATGCTGTCTCTGTTAGGGATGGAAAGAAATGCAGACAACAGAGACTTGGGGCCTTTGTATGCATTATGTCATTAATCCTCCCAAAGAGGGTACTGCCTTTTATCCTCTTTAGTTACTCAAGTGATGCCACCAAAGTCACCTGGCCAGGATGTGACAGACACAGAATTTAACCTCCCTTCCACATATGTCTTAGACTTTCCATGCTGAATTGGTAACCTAATTGCTCCAGCAAGAAGCAAGATTCATGTCTTAAGACTCCCCACAGACTTAGTTCCATCTGCAAGCCCTGTTTGTAACTGGACATAACCGAATGTGTACTGTCATCTCGAGGAGGGTCAGGGTGTACACAGAAGGCCCAAGATCCCTTGACACCCTCTGAGCTGGTATCCCAGGATGCTTTGCACCCATTATGAGTTAATTAGCCCTGAGCCGCAGCCATCCCCTAATGGAGTCATTTGAGGAAATGCTGAAGCAGAACAAATCACATTTGGTTTGGATCTCAGCATTTCCACAGATGATGGCTTCCTCGACTCACTTGGTTTGGCAAAGCACATGGGCCGATGGGACTTCAGGTGCTGTTCGCAGAGTGACAGAGACCTCTAGCTAGCACAGATGGCTTAGAACTGAGAAAAACAGCAGAGTGAGACTGTTCACGGGGGCGGGGTTTCCCTTATCTGGCCACTTCCAGGAGGCCTAAGATACAGCCCCCAATGATTAGGTTACAGACCTTGGCATTCCACACTCAGTCTTGGGAAGGCCATGTCAAGGCCATCAGTAACTGTTCCCTGCCAGGGCGGGTAGGTGGGGGCTTCATCCTCTCAACACACACAGATACTCTGGCTGTCATACCACTTGTTAATCTGTGATATGCCATTCTGTCTCTGGTCCTTTAAATCCCAGAGACTGGTGAGATGGCTCAGTGGGTGAAGGTCTTGTTTACTTCCAAGCTTGTTGACTTGCGTTCTATTCCCAGTACCCACATGATGGAAAGAGAAAACCAGTGGCCACAAGTTGTCTTCTGGATTCCATCTGAGTACCATGGACATACACCCTTTCCCACATAGACACATATATCCAAATAAAATGTATTAAAAATTTAAAAACCCTATATTCTTTGTTTGCAGTATTTGGACATTTTTTCTCTTGTTTACAGCCCACCAGTGCTCAGAACGCTAGCAATATCCATGTGAGATTAAAGCAGAATTTTGTCTTGTATGATAATATTTAGCAGTTTCATGTTTTTAATGACATGAGCCACCTAAGGCTACCTTTATGATTGGGAATTGTTTGTGTTTGTTGTGCACTTGCTTTGCTCCACTGTAGCACCGTGTGTGCTCATGAATGTCATGAACAATGGTGCACATCTTGAACGGATGACTGAGAATATGAATTCATAAAATCCTCAGGTGTGAACTAAATGGACATATGCATGATCATCTAAGGGCTAAAATTTTCAGGGAA